CCACTTCGATTTCGGTCGGAGCCCCTGGGCAGGAGCGACCTGACGAAGGAGGAGCGCGTGAGGGTCACGGAGGCGAACGTGCTGCTCTTCAACCACCTGGCCTTGTGCGACGTGGAGGAGCAGCACGGGGGAGGGCACCTGTTCGAGCACCCTGCGGACCCAGAGGAGGAGCCGCACCCAAGCATCTGGGACCTGGAGGCAGTGAAGGGCATGTTGGAGCGGCACGGCGTGCAGATCACCAGGATTGACCAGTGCATGTACGGGGGGCCGTCTCAGAAGCCTACCGCCCTGGCTTCGAACTTGGACGGCATTGGCGAGCAGGCGCTGCTATGTGATGGGAGGCACCGTCACGAGAAGGCCTACGGGAAGAACGAGCGCGGCATCTTCAGGTCGCGCCGGCTGCAGGCCTACCCGCCTGGCTTGTGCCGCATGATCGCCCCTAGTGTGGCCAGGGCGGCGCTTCGGATGCTGACCACGGGTCGAGGTCCAGGAGGGTGGCTCAGGACTGGGCGTGAGAAGCCGCGTCACACCCAGTGGAGCTATGAGAGTGAGAAGGAGGGCCTCTTCGTGCTGAACGAGTTGTACCGTCGGGGCGGCAGCGTGCGGCTGCGCCCAGACTTCCAGGCGATCTACGTGCACGTGGACGACGGGCTCAACATAGCTGCTTGCCCCAGGGGCGGGTCGGCTGACGTGGTGAGCGAGCAGATGATGCAGAAGGTCGCCGACGCCTGGGAGCAGGCCGGCTTCGTCGTCAACGAGCGCGAGAGGATCGAGGAGGGCTCGAAGATCGTGGGCTACGAGTTGCAGAACTTTCCGCCGCGACTGAAGCTGGCTGGTGGCAAAGCCAGCTGTTTGGAGGCGGCGCTTACGTGGATCATGGAGACGCCCTGGGTGGACGTGGAGCTGCTCAGGGCGTTGGTGGGCGTGTGGCTGTGGGGAGCGCTCCTGAGGCGCGAACTCATGGCTATCCCCGCCGCAGTGTTCGACCTGCTTGAGAAGAGACAGGGCCAAGCTGTACGATGGTGGGCCTCTGCCCGCCGCGAGGTGCGCGTCATGAGAGACATGATCCCGATGATGTCGTGTGTCCTGGACCTACCGGCAGCGCCTGTACTCTTTGCTTCGGATGCGGAGGGTGCCAACCGAGACGACCATGGCGGGCACGGCATCGTCGTGACGCCCATCACCCAGGGTGAGTCGGAGCAAGTCATCGGAGCGGGTACGAGGCCTGGGCATACGGTTTCCAGGCTGGACGGCACGGTCCTCCATTTGAATCGTGCCGACCGGGAGCTGCGAGGCCGCATCCCGGTGTCGCGCATCCCGCGTGAGCTGCTGCAGATCCCTCAGGAGATGTGGCACGAGCTGGACGCGGGGCGGTGGCGCCTGCCTGACCACATCATCTTGGGAGAAGGCCGAGCCGTGGTCAGGCTTTGCCAGGCGCTCTCTCTTCTTCCGGGAGCACATGACCACGCTATCTGCAACGTGGAGGATAATGAACCGTTGGCCTCAGCGGCAGCAAAGGGGCGCTCGTCGGCCCCGCATCTCAACTACCTGCTGAGGAAGATTAGTGCACTTTCAGTGGCAACAGGCATCAAACTATACCTACCCTGGGTGGACACCGCGCACCAGACAGCTGATGAGTTGTCAAGGAGGAAGCGGAGTGGCTTGGTGCGCTCGGCGAGTCGGACCTCGTCGAGTCGACCCTGACCAAGCCGCGCGGGTGACTGAGAAGACTTTAGAAGTATATCGCAGCGCTGGGCTTCGGTTTTCGACTTGGGCCCTTCAGCGCGGCCTGCGTCCCAGCGGTGCAGACGAATGGGACGGCCTTCTAGTTGAGTTCAAAAATGATCAGATTGAGAACCTCACTCCAGCGAAATTCGTGAATACAGTTGCAGCAGTTGAGTTTTTCATCCCTCGCATGCGGGGGAAACTTGTGTGGAGCAAGGCTGTCATTGCTGTCTGGGAAAGAAATGTGGGGCGCAAACATACAGTGCCTCTCGGGAAGTTGCCTGGTAAGCTCCTCGGGGATCACATGGCCGCCAAGGGGAACCCGCGTCTGGGCCTTGTTCTCATCGTGCAGTGCCATACGGGCTTACGCCCCTCGGAGCTCTTGGGAATACTACCTGAGGACCTCATCTTCCCTCGCGATCTGGGCGAGAACATCAGCATCGCCTCGGTCTCTATCGCTCTTGGGGCTCGTACGGGGACAAAGCTCAAGAGGCCCCAGGTGGCGCGTATATTCCAGGAGGGCCGGGACATCATGGAGGTGCTTGAGGACATCACGAGGGCCACCCCGGCTGGGACTCCGCTCTTCCCCTACAGCTTAGCCCAGTATCGTAAGGCTCTCAAGGGCACCGAGGGCTCGCTGGGTCTATCGATGGGGTGGGGGCCTCACAGCCCCAGAGCAGGATGGGCGAGTGACTCGAGGGCCGAGGGGCTCTCGTTCGAAGAAGTTCGGGAGAGAGGAAGGTGGATTTCGGATGGGAGTTTGCGCATTTATCTCGACATCGTCGGTGCGAGCCGCATCCTCACTCAGCTAAACACGAAGGGCTTTGCGCAGCAGCTGCACTGGCGCAAGAGAGGGTGGCGCCAGTACTTTCCTGCGTTCGTCTGGGGAGCGCACCTTCTACCAGGACATGGCGCCCAAGGGCTACATCAAGGACAAGAACACTGGGGGGTGGATCAAAGGCCTGGACTTGACGGAGGAGAACGTGCCACCGCTGCCGAGCCCGCCTGGGACGCCGTCCAGTTGGGCGCAGTGCGTCAGTGCGCCGCCGTCGGGGGCCACGTCGCGGACGGCATCGCCGGGGGCAGTATCGCTAGTCTTCACCCCGCTCAAGGCCAAGAGCCCGGGTACGCTGCCGCCAGCCACGGCGCTCGCGGCCCCGCCTCCGGAGGCAGCGGGCCAGCCGCTGGCAGGAAGGCTGCAGTTCTACGCGCAGGCGCCGTTCAAGTCGCAGCAGGCCAGAGTTCAAAAGGGAAGCTACCTCAAGTCGGCTGTTGGCTGCAGTAAGGTGCTCAAGATACTGTGCGGCCCGTGTTTCGTGCCTGCCATCATCCTCATGGTGCTCGTCGTCAGTTTCCCGTCGAGCATCTTCCCTGACATGTCCAGGGGTGCCGAGGCTGCGGCGTCCCTGGTGGAGGATGTGGCAGGCGCCGGTGGGGCTGTGGCGCTCGCGGCCAGAAACCTAACGTTGGCCGTGAGTGGTGTTGCGCTCTCAGTTGCAAGAAATTCGGCTACGTTCGTAGATGAAGCGTGGTCGGGGATTGATCTGCTGGGCTGCCGCCTGAATGTCACAGGCGGCCGCTTCGTCGTTGACATCGGTATGATGAAGGAGCTCGAGCGGTGGTTGACTGTTGTCCCTGATGATATGGCAGTGGAGTTGTGGGGTTCCATCAATGCTGTTTCTGTCAGGGCGCCAGTCGCGGCGCGGCTCTCCTCTCAGTTCAACTTTACGGAGAGCTTCTTCATATGGGATTGGGAGGTGCTTTTGGTAGACGAAGAGGTGCTGGCAGTACGCTATTATTTCGCAAGATTGGGATTTGAACTTCAGTGGGCTAATCCGTTGTGGGCCTTAACGGGGGCCGATCCAGGAAGTGAGCTGGAGCGCATCGCGACCAGAGTCAAGGATGCGATCGAGTCGGCAGTTGACGCCTCGGTGCTGCGGACCCCGCTTACCGCGCGCGAGGTGCTCCAGCTTCCCACCACACGCCCTCCCCTATGGTTCCGTCTCGGCCGGTGGGCCCATTCTCAGCTCGATTGGCTGTGGTACGCAAGCGGTGTTTGGCTCTGAGCTTCCACGGGGACAAAGCCATATGTGAGGTCTGGTCGGATACCGGGGTTCGGCATTATCTCAGAGCTTGCATTCAGTATACGGCTTGGAGTTCAGTTTTCCCTTGATGAATCGGATGAGGTCAAGTGCAGTGGAGACCCTCGGCCGAGGGATTTTAATTGGAAGCGAGTTTGCGACGCGTCTGAACTGTAACTCGACAGGTGATATGGCTTTGGTCATTTCGTGGTCTGTTGAACAATGAAGCAGATTATCGTGATAATCGTGAGTGACGCTTGCTGTTGTTTCCTATTCTGCACAGGCTTCGCCTTGGCACGCCCTACCTGTGCAGGCTTCGCCTGCTCGTCCCTAGCTTTTCCCTTCCCTTCCCCTGTCCGCCGCGGGGGCGGTGTGGGGGTCGGGTGGGTGGGTCTCCTGAGGCTTTAGGAACTCAGCGCGTTTTGTGCATGATGATGAAGTGAGAGTCTTCGAGCGGGTATTAATGTATAGTGTTGGTCCAGCTTTGCTCCCCAACAGCAAGCGTGCTTCCATAGCTTTTCGGGCCCACCCGATCCCGCCCTTTGGAGTTCAAGGGATTTTCCCTTGATGAATCGGATGAGGTCAAGTACAGTGGAGACCCTCGGCGGAGGGATTTTAATTGGAAGCGAGTTTGCGACGCGTCTGAACTGTAACTCGACAGGTGATATGGCTTTGGGCACAGGCTTCGTTTTGGCACGCCCTACCTGTACAGGCTTCGCCTGCTCGTCCCTAGCTTTTCCCTTCCCTTCCCCTGTCCGCCGTGGGGGCGGCGTGGGGGTCGGGTGGGTGGGTCTCCTGAGGCTTTAGGAACTCAACGCGTTTTGTACATTATATTTCTATATACATATATGTATATATATAGTATATATATATATATATGTCTATTGTATACATGTATATTATATTATATTATATTATATTATATTATTATATACTGCAAGTATTGAAATGTTATCTTGATAACTTAAGTAGCGGAGCTGGGGTCCACGGACCTTGCCCGACAGGGCTGGTGAAATCCTTTTCCACCTCAGCATGAACTGAGCCAAAACTGGCTCTCCACAGTACACAAATGTCACAACGGCGCATGCACAACAATCCTCACTCAAATCACTGATATATACCTTGTTTCCTGCACTCCTCCTCGGGCCCATCTGCAGCTTCATGCCAAGATCGGGCACGCATTCTGGAAACATATCAATATCGAATCATAGCCAGCGAGTGAGGGTGCCAAATCCCGACAAACCCATCAACACTGTAGATCTTGTCCTGCCTTATCTCGTTGAGGGCGGTCGCCACACAAGCTTCGACCACCATCGCCTTTGTATATGTCGAGACGGCCCGATCCACTCGCCGTAGTCGTAGAAACTCCCGTCCACTGTCTATAGTCATAGCTGTGAACATAGCCCGAAGATCATTGACCACGATCTTACTCGTAGCTCCATTCTTCATCGTGTCCTTCAGGCTGTACTGAGTTGAGGCATCTTTCCGTGCTGGCTGCGTGATACGGTCGATGTGCTGCTTGACTTTGAAGACTGCACTCGTTGCGACAACACTCAAAAGGGTGAGCATCATCATCACGACCGTTGTGGAAACGCCAAAATGGCTCTCATCGTCTGCAGGGCTCCAGATCGCGACTGGCTGAAACTCCTTCTCTCCCAACTCAGTAGCGTCCGCACGTCCAAATTGAAGAAACGTACCAAGACCCACCAAGCATTGAGTAAGTGCTCCCATCAGCTCCAGCGCCGGCTTACCGATCTGGCCCTTCTTCTCGTTGCTTGAACCCGAAATTCCACCAACCTCACCTTTCCCAGTGAGCCATACCTTCATCGCCGTTAGGTGCTTCATGAAATCGACCCTCGAAAGATGTTTCGTCCCAAGATCTGCGGTGTTCTCGTTGGTGTGAACTTTGCTCGTGCTGACCTTCGTCTCAGCCTTGCGTGCGACTAGGTCCTTGATCCACAGATCCTTCAACTCGATGTGCCTCATCCTGCCAACTCCCTTCTTCTCGACGTTCGTGAGAGCGCTGGAGTTGTCACTCTCCAGCGTCGCTGGTACAGTTTCGTCCAAGAGCTCCTTGAGATAAGTTTGTGCTCCTCTCGCCTCAATCCCGTCATGCACGAGTGCGTTAAACTCAGCTTCGGGCGACGAGAGTGCTGGTGCCCCCTGAGTCCTGACGAACTGCATGATCAAAGCTCCATTGAGAAACAACTGACCACAACTTGTAGACTTCCTTTTGATAGGATCCTCTGCCCAATTAGAGTCTGCACGTCCGATAACCTTGAACTCGCCGCTGTCTGGATACATGCACGTGACTGAAGATGGGTGAGCTCGAATGAACCTGATGATGCGCGTGAGCCTCGTCTGGTCCTGCACCGTCGGTCGTGACATCCCCCTCGAACACTCCTTCGCTGCGTACTGACACTCGGGCCTTTCCAAACACACGAACATGTTGAGGCCGTTGACGCTCCTGAACTTTGTGGCCGCTTTGGAATCCAACTCCTCCTCGCTCTCGACCTTCTTCTCGTTCTTGACTCCTGGTATTGGGCTCGTCTTCTTATCATTGGGCTCAGAGTCGAGTAGCTTCTTGACAATAGCAGGCCACATGCGAACTTGAATACCTTCGGGGGTGCGGAGCCAGCCACGTCCAAGGTGCTTGATCTCAGGACCACCAACTGTGAGCTCAGAAACCTTGAGTAGAAAATGTGTGCCGAGCTCCTCCAACACTTTGCTGGCTGAAACTCTGGGTCCCACCAGCGTGCCATCGTCAACGTGCTTGGACATAGCAACTTGATTAGCCTTGTCTGCAAACGTACACGGGTCAGAAAGAAACCTCTTGAACGTCATCTTAGACTCATCATTCCGTCCTGTAGCGATGTTCTCAAAGTGGTCGTCGAAATCGATCATCGCCTCGTTAAGTCCGTAGACGGTCTTATTGAGCTTGAAAACCCAATCCGAACCATCGGGAAGATGGCAGTACTCCTTCGGAACCTCTGCGCACACCAACTCTCGAATCGGCGTGTACAGAAACGCTCGAGATATGTCGAAAAAGAAGATGGCGAAATCCTTAACGATAGCGTAGACCATGAGCAACTTGAGTGAGAACGAAAGTGGAGTAGGGCAGTACAGCTCATTCTTGCTCTTGTTGACCTGCTTGCCGAATGGTCGCGCACAAAGCCTAGCCTTGAGCTCGCCACTCCTCATCTCCAAAACCCAAGTCCACGTAAGTGCCTTAGGCCCGTGAGGGTCCCTCAGCGTGAGCTCCCACACGTTGTAGTTGTCGAACCGATCTAGCTCGCACTGCTTCGCCTCCCACTCGTCGTCCTCGGTCCAGCCCATCACGATGCTGAACTCGCTGTCGTCCTTTAGCTCCTTGTCGACCTCGCCCACGAGCCTCAACATCTCCTCCGTGCTGAAGCCCGCCACGAGCCTCTTGAGGTCGCCAGTACTCAAGCTCTCGATGGCTCCCACCAGGCCTCGATTCCCAGGTGGGCCTCCAGGGCCGCCTTCACCGAGGTCAGCGTCAGCAGCTCCTCGCTTAGCGGGTGCCCCTGGAGCCGGTACTCCCTGCTTGCCTCGAAGCCTCCTCTCGATCTTCTGCACCTCTTGACGAACTGCTTCAACTGGATCTTGACCTTGTGCTGGCTCTGGCCCTGCTGGTCGCTGTGCTTGCTGCTCGCCGTTGTTAGCCTCCGAGCTGGCCGTAGGTACGGGAACCACGACCACCTTCGGCTGCTCGTCGTCCTTTCTGGCGATTGACTTCTCGTACTCAGCCCGACGCTGCTGGCATGTCCTGCTGTGGTGTGGTGGCCGTCCTCGTCCGTGCTGACCTTTAGCTGCATACTCACACCCAGGGCATCCTTCCGTCGGCTGCCAGTTCTCGCCCTCGTAGACTCCAGCTCTAACCGAGGTCCTCCAAGGCGTCCAACGCATGGCTTTGAGCATCTCCATGTCGAAGCTCTCCTCAGTCGTCAGCTGCTTCACTGTCCTGGCCTGAACTACCCCCGTCGCCGTGCCGATAAGATGAGCATCACTCTTCGAACTGCGTCCGAGCCACAGTCCCTTGCACCAGGCTGTACCCAGCTTGTCCTGCAGCTCCGTGTGCTCCTTGCCGATCACTGTCTCTCCGAACTCCAGCATGGGTGAAGTGTACGGTGCCAACCTGAGCTCCTCGAAAGATGTGCGACCGCTGCTCCTCCTCCGCTGGTACCTGTTGTGGCAGAATATCTGATGCCGAATCATCCAAGGTATGATAGGTACATCCTCAGTGAACTTCATGTTGTAACGCTTCTCCAGAGCCAAACGCCCAGTCCTAGCAAGACCTGCAACCGACTTGACTCCACTCTCAACTCCACCTTGAGAAGCGTGGCTTCCTTTTGGAACTAGCCGTACTCGAAGTTGAGCTTCAGCTGCCTCTTTGCCGAGCTTCTTGATACGCTCCGAAATCACTCCATTCATGAGTGCCTCCAGTGCTGGTTCTCCGTCTAACTGAACTTCCATACTCATGTAGCCCAGCTCGTCCAGGTACTCGCTGATGGCCGCTATAGCATAGCTCTGATTGCCTTTAGCTTCCACGACAACTCCCATGAGGTAGCCTGTCCTTCTGTCCTTGCCGACTGCCAGGGTAAGACGCCGACCTGATCCATCTTCACCGAGACTGAGAAACCCATAATCGAATGATACAACTGGAGTAGCCGATGCGTTTGGATCTCTCGCGCGATGAGGGTCTTCTTGCCCTCGTCCCATCATGCACTCCTGACACCAAGCTTCGAAAGGAATGTGACCTCTCCGAATGTGCGCTCTGACATGTTCTCCTGACATCCGAGCTGGTCTCTTGAGCCCGGGTGCGACGGGCGTCCCCGTCTGATCTGGAACTCCTTCTGCGACACCACGTGGGCCATCACGTGAACTAGCCGCTCCACTGTCAGCCTGCACCTCCACAGGCTGCGTCTCGACAGGCTCCTCCTTCATCTGCTCGTCGTCCTTCTCAGAGTGGTCCTCGACATCGCCGATGATGGACTCGTAGCCTGTCGGATCCTTGAACCTCATGGGAAGAAGAAACGCATTCACCTTCCGTCGTAACCGCAAAGTCACTGTCGACTCGATCGCCTTATCTATCTCGTGCTGCACATTCTTGTTGCTTTTGAACATCTTGGCTCCGTCAGGATCAAAGTGTACCGAATAACCTGCATCATTCATCTCTGCAACTGAAAGGGCACCTCTACGAACTTCAGCTGGCGTGACGTCTAGCTTTGCAGGGATCGACGTGTTCGAATCGAAGACCTCACCCGTCAACGTCCGCTTATCCCAAGTCCGAATACCCTTACCAGTAATGGATCGCAGAGACTGACCTGGCTCGCCTGTGAGCTTGCACTTCTCCGTCATAGCCTTTGGTACAACATGAGTGTGAGCTCCACTATCCACGAGCATCTCGCATTCGTCCCCGTCAGTGTCGTCCGTAAACGCAAAAATCCAACCCCCTTCGTCATCTGGTAGTACTGCTGCCTGTACGCGTCCAGCTCCACATACTCGTGTCTGTGACGCTGAATCTCCTGGATGGACCGTACTTGCTGAGCCCGATCCTGGAGCTGGTTGAAGTCCTGGCTGGACCTCAGAAACGGATCGCTGACCTCCTCCAGGCTGGTAAGCGCCGCCGCCGTACTTCCTGCAATCCGCGATCTTGTGCCCGTACTTGCCGCAGTGGGGATTCGAACACCATCCGTCGAAGAGCTTCGTCTCGCCCTTCTTGCTCTTCATCTTGTTCTTGCCGTCGCCCTTGCCACCTTTGCCGCCCGAACTCTGCCAAGCACTCCTTTGACTGCTCGACTTGCCACCGCTGCCCTTCTGGTCCGACTTGCCGCCGAAGCCCTTGCCCTTGGAATCGCCCTTGCCGCCCTTGTCGAAAGCGTCTACGTCCATGGCATTCGGGTCGAACTTCTTCTTGGTCAACCTCGGGTCGCGCTGCATCATCTGCTGAGCGAAGGCCTCGCAAGTCTCCCGTAGGATCTGGTGGTTCGTGAAGGTCTGCATCATCACCTGAGTCTTCAGTGGCTCGGGCGTGTTCTTCTTGATCAAGGCTTGGACGAGGGTGTCTGAGATCACTTCTGAAAACTTCTCTTGATATCGGTTCATGTCCAGTAGAAACTTCGTGAACTCCTCGACGTATGTCTCCCACTTGCCTGAAAACTCTGTGTTCACAAGAAGCTGCAGCTGCGTCACCTTGTTGGAGCCAGTGGCCGCATCCTCGCGTAAACAAAGACGTCGCCACTGCTCCAGGCCGTTACCTGGCTCACAATTCATCACCAAGGTCAACGCGCTGCCTCCAAGCAACTGTGATAGAGTGTATCCCATCGTCGCTGCAAACTGCTTGTTATCGTCACCCATCTCTGAAAGCGTAATGACATTGCCGTGGGTAGCTGCTGTCGTGACCGCTTGTGCCAATCTCGGGCCGATGGCGCCCAAGTAGCTGATCAGCTGATATCTGAAGGTCGGGAACTCGTCGCGGTTGCCTGAATACTTATTTGGTCGTCCCAGCAGGCGCGTGTCCACAAGACCAGCCATCATGAGAAGAACAGAAACCAATCGCGCTACCATGCAAGTACTGAAATGTTATCTTGATAACTTAAGTAGCGGAGCTGGGGTCCACGGACCTTGCCCGACAGGGCTGGTGAAATCCTTTTCCACCTCAGCATGAACTGAGCCAAAACTGGCTCTCCACAGTACACAAATGTCACAACAGCGCATGCACAACAATCCTCACTCAAATCACTGATATATACCTTGTTTCCTGCATATATATATATATATATATATATATATATATATATATATATTCGTGGCGTGCAGCAGCCTCCCCTTAACGCTGCCTGCCCCTCCCCCCTCCCCGCACCCCCGCAGCTGTCGGAGAAGATCCGGGAGGTGAGCCGCGCCGTCGAGGTGCGGCGGGAGCTGAGGCCCACGCCCACCTCTGCTGGGGGCCTCCTCCTCCTCGTCGCCGTCCTGGCCGTCCTCGTCGTCCTCGCCGTCCTCGTCGCCGTCGTCGTCGTCGTCCTCGCCGTCCTCGTCGCCGCCGTCCTCGTCGCCGTCGTCGTCGCCGTCGTCGTCGGCGTCGTCGCCGTCGTCGCCGTCGTCGTCGGCGTCGTCGCCGTCGTCGCCGTCGTCGTCGTCGTAGTCGCCGTTTCCCGTCGCCGTCGTTTCCGTCGCCGTCGTCGCCGTCGTCGTCGTCGTCGCCGTCGTCGTCGTCGCCGTCGTCACCGTCGCCGCCGTCGTCGTCTTCGTTGCTGCCGCTGCCGTCGTCTCCATCGCTGTCTCCGTCGCCGTCTCCGTCTCCGTCTCCGTCGCGGTCGTTGTCGTCGTCGTGGTCGTTGATCGTCCCCAGCGCCGTCGCCGCTGTAGGAAGATGAGGGCGAGGAGGACCAGCGTAAACCCAAGACGCATCAGCGATGTTGCAATGATCCCTCTCCCTGGTTCCCTCTGCATAGGTCCCTACAAGAATTCATTTTCATTGCGGGAAGTTCCCGATTGGAGGACAATAGTAATTGTGATGATTCCCAACCGTGCCAACATTCCATTCCTGGGACTTCAGCGCCGCCACTCAATGTGACTGTTGCGTCCTGACAGTCCTAAATCTTGCTGGAACGCCATTCTTGGACTTCACAACACAGCGAATCAACGTCCTGGCAATTATAAGTTGTGCCAGAACGCCTTTCCTGTGAATTCAGTCACACGGATCCTCGAAACTGCGGTACATGTTTAAGACAAGTGTGCGCGGCGTTGAGACGACATCCACAGTTCGGAAAGGAACCGCGTTTCGTCCGTGAAGCTGTCGCAAACTCTTCCAGCCAATGTGCGCGACGCTGATCGAGAGCCACATTCTGAAAACAGGCCGCCCTCATTTTTTGAACATGTTCGAGCTTTGAGGACGAATGTGCGCGGCGCTACGGCAAGATTCCCATTTTGAAAGCGACCCACCCTCCATTCTTGAAGCTGTTGCAGATGTTCAGCTTAATGGCGAGGGAGTTCCAGGCGAAACGCCCAGCCCGCCCTACCGACACGTCTGGGGGTGCGACATGGAGGACTTGCTGTCAAGTTTTTCGCTGCCGCAACTTAGTATTTGGCGCCGGTGCCGCCTCAAAGGGCCCTGGATGCGAAATGTTGACATGGGTGGTTTTGTTTTGGCGACTCGGTGAGTTGCTAAGTGCCATCGGTGCGCTATCGAGACTTGGCAGGGGGCTTGCATAGTAATCGCTCACCAGCGATAACCGATCGTCGCATGATTTAATTTGGCGGTGACGTCGTAAACAACTGGCCCACAGAGCAAACTAAGCGAACTATGAGCAAGCATGAGTATATATCTCGGAAAAGAGAACTGAGAGGGAGGAGGAGGAGGAAGAGGAGGAGGATGATTAGGAGGAGGAGGAGGAGGAGGAGAAGGAGGAGGAGGAGGAAAAGGAGGAGGAGATGATGAGGGGAGGAGGAGGAGGAGGAGGAGGAGGAGGAAGGAGGAGAAGGAGGAGGAAGGAGGAGAAGGAAAGGAGGAGGCAGCAGGAGGAGGGAGGAGGAGGAGGAGGAGGAGGAGGAGGAGGAGGAGGGTCCAGGCGGCAGGTGCCAACACGGAGATGTCCTTGTCCCCCAGGGGCTGCCGTGGCACACGCGGGCCCTGAGGCGACCTGGGAAGGGCGAAGATGTCCCGTCACACGGGGGACGCGCCGTCATGCTTTTTCTCATGTCCGACGAGGTGTCCCGTCGCACGCGCCTGCCGTTCCCATCCCCTCTCCCTCCGCCGTGGCCCCCCGAGGCGGGCGCAGCGCCGGCCCTCCCGACAGCGCCCCGCGGCGCCCCCGAGCCGCCGGCCGTCGGAGCCCCCCGCGGCGGCCCCGAACCGGCGGTCCTCGGAGCCCCCCGCGGCGCCCGACCGACCGCCCTCGGCGCCGCCGGCGGAGCCCTCGAGCCGACGGCCGTCGGTGGCCCCTGCGGCGGCCCCCGCGGCGGCCCCCGCGGCGGCCGACGCGGCGGCCCCCGCGGTGGACGACGCGGCGCCCGTCGCCAGAGCCGCGAGGGCGGCGGTGCCGGCGGCGCCGCGGGCGCCCGCTGCGCCGGCCGGCGGTAGGCTCCCGAGGGCGAGCCGCCGCCGTCGTCGTCAGCCCGCCGCCGTCGCCACCGCCGCCGTCCTCGTCGCCGTCGTCGTCGTCGTCGTCGTCGTCGTCCTCGCCGTCCTCGTCGCCGCCGTCGTCGTCGACGTCGCCGTCGTCGTCGTCGACGTCGCCGTCGTCGTCGTCGTCGTCGTCGTCGTCGTCGTCGTCGTCGTCGTCGTCGTCGTCGTCATCGTCGCCGCCGTTGCCGTCGTCTTCGTCGTTGCCGCCGTCGTCGTTGTTCCAGACCCCTTGCGTCGCGGGCAGGCTCGCGGCGACAGGCTTGTTTTCTTCAGGTTCGGGCTCCAGGGGCCCGTGTCGGGCCCCTGGGCCACGAGATGGGCTGCCCGCGACGACAAAGCTGCCCTGGGGACGGAGCCCAGGGCCCTGGACCTGGGGCCCGCGGGCACGGAGAGGATGCCCCCCCGAGGGCCAGAGGAGCGAGAAGCCCCCCGAAGACCTCCGGGCTGCACGGCTGCCGCGCGCGGCCCGAGACGGGCGGCCGGGCACGGAGGGCCGAGGGCCGCAGGCACCCGAGAACGTGTCCGGACATGGCTGCTCGTCCTAAGAGGAAGGCCAGGGGGAACGAGAGGGAGGGGTACGGTCACGGTCCTGCTCGTAGCGTGCAGTTGGGAGTACGTCTGTACACGCTAGGTGTTCCGCACTTGGTGTGTATCCTGCGTGGCTGGTTCTCAGCGCATATCGGAGGGCTGTGCCACCCGACCCTGCTCAGCGTGGCCGTCCGAGGGAGGTCAGGGGCAACGATAGGGAGGGACAGGTTCAGGGTGAGGGGGCACATCGACTCCTAATCGCTCATTCGTCGCCGATAGGGGCCCGGCAGCATCGCCTCGCCCAGGAGCGTGCAGAGTCGCCATCGGGGGCCTATCGCCGATCCGTCGGTGGTGTCTTGCCGATTCCAGCTCCATGAGGAGGAGGAGGAGGAGGAGGAGGAGGAGGAGTAGGAGGAGGAGGAGGAGTGAGGAGGAAGGAGGAGGAGGAGGAGGAGGAAGGAGAGAATGAGGAGGAGGAGGAGAGGAGGAGGAGGAGGAGGGGAGGAGGAGGAGGAGGAGGAGGAGGAGGAGGAGGAGGAGGAAGGGGAGGAGAGAGGGGGAGGAGGAGGATGAGGGGATGAGGAGGAGGAGGAGGCGGAAGGAGAGGAGGAGGAGGAGGAGGAGGAGGAGGAGGAGGAGGAGGATGAGGAGGAGGAGGAGGGAGGAGGAGGAGGAGGAGGAGGAGGAGGAGGAGGCCTCGGAGGAGGAGCTGCTCCCCCCTTGTCGCTGGGGGGGCAGGCGGGCGCCCCCCCTGCGACCTCAGGCGCACGCCGGCCCCGAGCTCGCGGAGGTCATCCGCGCAGAGGACCAGCGGCAACCCGAGGCCCCCGCAGACGGCCCCACCTCCACTAGGGGAGGGGGGAGAGGAATCTCGATGGAGAAAGAACCCATAAACATAAAGTTTTGGCGCTCCGCGCGGATTTCTCGATTCCGCGCTGGGCCTCCCCGGCGGCGCCTCCGGCGCCGCCCCCTGCGCGCTCCGCGCGCCAGGGAGGGGGGGCGCAGCGCGGATCCAAGAAATCCGCGCGGAGCACCAAAAGTTTATGTTTATGCCATTTGTCTTCTTCTAGAATCGGCTACTCGTAAGGGTGACCCCTCGCAGGAGGGACCTTTTGGTGCGGGCCCACCAGTGGTCCCCCGGAGCATCGGCTTGCGCGCTCGGAGTTCGACCCCCCGCGGCGGCAGAGCTGCGTGGTGCCCGCGGGCCAACATCTCGGATCTCCAGGGGCCGGATGCTGATCCATGCCCCACCTCTGGTTCCTCGTGGGGTTGGGGCGTGTCACGAGTCTTACGCCATTGTGCCGGCCCCCAGAGAAGGAGTTGTGCGGCTTTCGCTTTCGTACGTGTTGTTTGACACCTCCCGACGTGCTGCCTGCGCGTAGTGGTTGCTGGTTCGTTTTCCTCTTCCTCCGCGTCCGTTGGGCGGGCTTCCTGGTGGCCTCTTGGAGGCTCAGGGGGCTGGTCTCTTGGCCCTCCTGTGGGGTCCTGTGGGGGAGGGCTCCTGGTCCCTGCCATGCCCCCCTCTCGGGTCTCTCTTGGGCCCCTCCTGAGGCACTCTCGGGACCTCGTTTTTTTATAATTGTTTTTTCTCCATATCCTAAGGATGGGGTTATGGTTATGATTTGGGCCGCGCCGAGAACGAGAAGGAGACGACTCACCCACCACCCTCCTGCTCACTCTGATGATGATGATGATGATGATGATGATGATGATGATGATGATGATGATGATGATGATGATGATGATGATGATGATGATGATGATGAATGATGCTGATGATGCTGATGATGCTGATGATGATGATGATGATGATGATGATGATGATGATGATGATGGTGATGATGATGATGACCTGATTGCAACATCCTCTGCTTTCGGA